CGCCTGGCATGCGTGCGGCCCGGGTTCGATCCTCAGCACCACATACCAACAAAGATGTTGTGTCCGCCAAGAACTAAAAAATAAATATTAAAAAATTCTCTCTCTCTCTCTGTCTCTCCTCTCTCACTCTCTCTTAAAAAAAAAAAAAATCTCAGGCTGGGGTTGTGGCTCAATGGTAGAATGCTTGCCTAGCATGTGTGAGGCACTGGGTTTGATTCTCAGCACCATATATAAATGAACAAAATAAAGGTCCAAATAAAATAACACCAACTTTGTTTAAAAAAAAACTCAAAAAGAGAGAACTTTGGGGCTGGGATTGTGGCTCAGTAGTAGAGCGCTCACCTAGCACAGGTGGGACCCGGGTTCSATCCTCAGCACCACATAAAAATAAAGGCATTATGTTGTGTCCATCTACACCTAAAAAAAAAAAAAGAAAAAGAAGAAGAAGAAGAACAACAACAACAACAACTTCAAACTATCTTAGGAAGCTTCTTTTGCTCCAAATAAATTAGTATCAATAAAATACTAATAGCTAATAGAGTGCTTACCATATACCAAGAATTGTTCTAAATATTAGCCATGAAATAGGTATTACTTTTATTTTCATTCTACAAGTGAGAAAACTAAGGCCCAGAGAATTTAAGTGGTTTGCTTACAATCATTGGTATGTAGATGGAAGAGCAGAATCTGAACCCTTATAGTCTGGCTCCAGAGTCGGTGCTCTCAGTTACTACTGTCTCTCAACAGAGTGAGTCTGCAGGAGTTTTAATTATAAAATGGGACCTTTTCCCTGCATATTAAGTTTCTTTATGCTCTAGGATTGTGCGGTTACCCTAATTTGAGTATTCTTTAATCTTAGTTTTCTCTGAAGTATATATCAAGTCTTAAAATGTTTTTGAACTTGGCATATCATATCACTTTTATATCTTGTTGTATTTCTTTCTTGTAATCAGGATATTCTGCCTCAAAGCCAGAAGTGATTACCTTATTGGAGCAAGGCAAAGAGCCGTTCATTGTGATTGGAGATGTGCAAGGAAGACGGTGTGCAGGTAAGTGAGGGCTCACCAGGTAAATGCCAACAAAAGCCAGATGGTCAAGGTGGGGGTCACAGGTTTGCATGCTGTTATGGCCTAAGAGAGGAAAGAAAACAGATTTTTCTTAGTGTAAAGTACCAAAAGAACTTTTATGTGCATTCTCAGTTATCACTGTCTGTTTTTTCCCCTTCTCATATTACCTTCTAATTTCAATTAGAGATTGTCAGGAGGGAAGAAGGGAGGGAAAGAGGAAGATCTGGGAACTGAAATAGAGCAAACGCTTACATGAATTTATGAATATGTCAAAATGAACCMAAATATTAAATATAACTATAATGCACTAATTTWAAAAATTCAAAAGAAAATGCTCTCTTTCCCAGTGCAACCAATTGATTTCCATATTTTTTTCCTGCAGTGATTCTTAAGCTTGTCTCCAATTCCTGAAAGTTCATTCATTTACCTATTCAGCATATATTTACTTACTGATTGCCTTCTCTGAGCCAGGCAGTGTGCCAACTATAACATATATTTTGGCAAATAGGCAAATGGGAGACACTCAGTAAACTGTAAACCAATGAWTAGATAATATAATGTGAAATCATGATGCATGCTATAAAGGAAAAGTATGAAGGGTGAGGAGGTGGARTTGGGCTCGATGCTCAGCAAAGCCTTTTGTAAGGAGGGCATATTTGTGCAGAGACAGGAAATATCGGCTTATATGGGCTTATATCCTGTGAATAACTTGAAAGAAATCATCTCGTGAAGAGGGCAATGAGATTTGTATGTTTGCAGAACAGCAAAAAACTCAGAGTATATTTAGAGGGGGGAAGAATACTAAATAAGAGTTAAAGTTGAGCAGGAGCCAAATCTTAGTTTTTTTTYCCACAGTGGGAAATTTGGATTTTTCTTTTCAAAGAAAGATTGAAAGCCATAATCTCATATGTTTTTAAATGATCATAATTTATACTATGTGGAGAATATACTAAATGGGAGCAAGATTGGAAGTAGAAAGGTCAGTGAACAAACTACTTCAGAGGTCTATACTWGTCATAGCAATGATAGTAACTTGGATTAGGATGGTGGTGAAARGGTGGCGTATTCATCTTGTGCTTTGGATGCAGAGCTAATAGACCTGCTATGAGGTATAGGTGAAGGAGATGAATAGAATCCAGCTGATCTAGGCAGACATGAAAGATGGCTTGGGGAATGGAAATAGAGTCCTGTTTTAGGTATCCAGTTTTCCCTTGGTATCCATGGAGGATTGGTTCTGGGGTTTCCAACTGATCTCAAAATCTGTTCAAGTCCCTTAAAGTCATCTCTGGATTCCTTATAATACCTAAAACACTGTAAAATGCTACATACATAGTTCCTACATTATATTTTTTAGGGAATAATGACAAGAAAAAAGATGTATGTGTTCTGTATGTGTTTTGTATGTGTTCAGTACAGATATAATTTATTTTCACATATTTTAGTCTGCATTTGATTGAATCCATGGATACAGAACCTGCAGATATATTACAGTTAAGATGCCAGTGCCAATGGTATCTGAGGATGAAAACTTGCTAGCTTTGGCTCAGAAAAGGAGGTGAGGCACTGGTGATGGTGATATAGAAAATTGTAGGTTGGGAATGTGGTTCAGTGGTAGAGTTCTTGCCTAGTATGTGTAAAGCCCTGGATTCAATCTCTGATAACATGTGCATGCACATACACACACA